ATAGATATTAGAGTAAATGAAACTAAAAATTTGAAAGGTTCCTTATCCTACTGCAGTGGGCAGTAATATACTAAACTGAAGCCTTGTTCTATTACATTTCCTTATGATAATTACACAGTGGTTTGTAACTTTGGTTTGTACATGTTGCATCTACTATAGCCCTCAGTTTTTCTTATTGCATTAATCTAAAACTTTAGAGCAGTTTAACTAGTTTTACAACCTCATCGTAAGGTTAATGAAAATTTCATTTACTCTAATATTTATGGGTAAATTTAAATTATTCATCCAGTCACACCCACTTGGCTATAACTTCAAATTTTCAATTATTATTATAGAAATTATTTTTAAAAACAATGATAATCTTTTCAGTGATAATGATAATCTTTTTAATACTAATGAATAACTCAGTTTCCACTATTTCTTAAGTCTGTCTTTTTCTTCTTTTTTCAAGAGGCTTGTCTAGGTGAGACAAACCGTCTGCTAAATTAAGAACGTTTGCTACAAAAGAAGATTTCAACTATTTTGCTTTAGTTATTGATTTATACCTCTTCTTTTCCTTTTACACTTGCTTTTAGGTGTTGCAAAATCTATCCAAAAAATTATTTTATTTCAATACTTTTAAAATTATGATTCTAGGTCCTAAAAATGCTTTGTTATTAATTTTTAAAACAGATATTCTATGTTCATAGGTATTAGCAAAAGTCGATCTTAATGAATATTAGATCAACCCCGCCCTAAAGGCGAGCCCAAAGGTGTATCTAGACTCTACTTTAATTTAGAAAGTAACAGCTTGAGTAATAGTGAAAATTACGAAATTAATCATGTGTTTCACTTACTGGTATTAGGCCTTGTGAAATTATGCTTTTATTTTTGCCTATTATTCTATTCTCAGATTCTTCTATGTATTGCCCATTATTCTTTTCAAACATGCCTATTATTCTACTATTATTCATTAATATAAAGTAATTAATATAACAAAAATATTTCAATCATGATTAATTGTGATGGCATAATTAATCATACTAATAATTATAGTCTATAGATTTATAGTCTATGACTATACTTTACCAATTTATAATTTTTTAAAAAAGTTCTCATAAATACTGCCTATTATTCTGGAATTATTCTTGATTCTATGAATTCCCTATTATTCTCAAAATTGTGCTAGCATAATTTCACAGGGCCTAACTGGTATCAGTTACTCTGCCATTTACTGCCGGTTGATAGGAGAGGGAAGACACGCAGATTGAAATAAAGATGGTAAGTCAACATCATTTCACACTTTTACTAACCTGTCTCTGGAATCAGTAAATCTAAAATACAACAGTGACACGTAGGTCAAATCAATAAAATTATGTAGCTACATACCTTCTTTTCCTACTGCAGTGTCAGTACCAGCTGGAGGAACAGCGTCAGCGCCAGCTGGAGTAAAGATTAAAATGGTAAGGCAGACTTTTCACTAACCTTTCTCCACATTCATCAATTCATCTATAAAATGCATCAGTAGCATGTATAGGGTCAAATCAACAAAGACATGTACGTACCTTGAGTAACGACTAATGTCAGTATCAGCTGGAGCAAAGATTAAAATGGTAAGGCAGACTTTTCACTAACCTTTCTCCACATTCATCAATTCATCTATAAAATGCATCAGTAGCATGTATAGGGTCAAATCAACAAAGACATGTACATACCTTGAGTAACGACTAATGTCAGTATCAGCTGGAGCAAAGATTAAAATGGTAAGGCGACATCGCTGCAGACTTTTCACTAACCTTTCTTGGTATTCATTGGACCTATAAAATGCATCAATAGCATGTATAGCCAAAATCAATTAAGATATGCACATTTACCTTCACTTGCAAGCACAATTTCCTTATCTGAAAAATAAAAAGTCTAATAATTCCAAACATTGTTTGACTGACCCGGATTATTCTTTTGGAATGGCTTTTTTTGCTTTTTCTTTTGATATTGTTTAAGTCCTGGCATTAATGTAATAAAGAAATGGGCAAGGGTTAAACTAATTATGTGGGCATGGGAAACATGGGATTCCCTGAGCCACACAAATTTAACATCATGCATATACCTGGTGTATGAAAATTAATATTATCTTTCGAATTTTTACGCCAACAGAATCCCCTGCATGAGTAAGTATGCATGTTCTAACTTACTTCCTTTTATGTTCTCTAAACTATAAAAGCATTCTTGATAGATTATTTCGCATTTTCTTCTTTGACTATTTATGTTCCTTTTAATAGGTGCCTTTTCTCCGTGTAAAAGGAAATCTTTTGTCTCCTGTGTCTTTCCTGCACCTGTTCTCTTCAATGCCTGTCATGAGTTATATTACGATTTTTCAAATTTGAAAGACACTCACTTGTCTGATGGCTGGCACGGGATACGGCAGCTTTTCTTCAATGTCATTCAAAACTACTGCCACTACGTCCCGTCCTGCTACAGTGACATCAGTCCTCAGAAATTCAAGTATCTGTTTAAGTTACATGTCACATACTCAAAGTTAGACAATATGTTACCTCATTGCAATTCATTTCTGCAGTTAAGGTATCTAGTACGGAAAATGTTTCCTTTAGAACTTTGTCGTCAGAGGATTGAACATCTTTACCACTACATATAAACATGACTACATGTCCAGCTATTGCAATGGGACTTCCGGTCGCATTAATTTAATGATATTCATTGGAATTACCATAGCAACGGCAGCTCAGCAATGGTGGATTGATAGGAAGCTTCACTACAAAGCCTGCTAACGTCTTTCTGGTTCATGGATGGGACTTCACTAGATACTTGGAGCTTCTTGAATGCTACTTAATGCAATTGGTTATGGTAATTTTTTCATATTCTATTGTTAAAGTGGCAGGCGTGGCACAAGAAGACTCATCCACTAACAAAAGGCCTTCTTGTTATTACTTTAAAAGGATCTAGAGACATGATTTGCTTGTATTGCTGTTAAGCACTCTTAGTTTTACTTTATTATTCCCGTGAGAAGAGAAAAGCACTTGTTCACTCTTGTTGCTGCACCCGTTATCACTGAGATGACTAAAATTATTTCACCTTTAGGAGACTAAAGTACCGAACAAAGTTTTGAATTTCTTTATCTTTTTTGCATGATTGGGCAGTAAAAATGTTGTACTTTCACAAAATAAGTGCGCAATTTGTCAAAAATTGTTTGAAATTTAGATATAACCATTCAAAAAAGTAAAAAAATTATCATACATAGTTACATACATAAAGGAATGACAAAAATGGCGGCACTGACTGCCTCATCTTTAATCTGCAAATGTTCCACACAAAGTTACTCCAAGTGCTGTCATATTTAGCAGGAACACAGGTATAATTATGGAGAACAGCTACTGAAGTGCGCAAATTGATGAGACTTATTCTGAAGAAAGATATAGCCTAGTAAATGGAAATGTCCATTCCTGCCCTGTATAAAGTCAACCAGTAGTATACGGAGATAATTGCTCAGTATACTAATCCGCGTCCACTCATTGCTGGACATGACTTGCTCCATCATTTCTTCAGAGTCACATCCCGCCTCATGTAGTAGCTACATACATAATTATAGCAGAAAAAAAATTAAATCTAATTACCTCGTGTACACTTTGCACAACTAAGGCCCAGTTATTGAGGGACCTGCCCTTGAAGTGACTCATCAGCTTATTTTTCCAAACTGAAGTGTCATTTAGCTTGCCTCTCTTTCTAATGACAAAGCCGATTAAAGAAGACAAATCACCACTCTCTATCAAGTCATGTAAATGAGCTAGTTTTCCTTGCTGTTCCATAGAATGAGGACCAATGGAAGGCTTATGAAACTGTACAACACATGATCTGGATGATACTCTGCAAGAACGTTAAATTATACGAAGTGGCTACGGAACCGGTACCGGTTTCCATTTTCAAGGTCTTATAGAACCGGCATGATCACGTGGTGCCTAAACCACGCCCATTTTAACGAGCTAATTAAATAGTAATTATTGATTAATCATTATCTGAAATTAACTTCCTTATTTTCTTTCTTTAATTTTGTTTATCTCACAATTATTCATCATTGTTTCTTTGAATTCACTCTTTTTATTGTTATAGTTTATCAAAGTACTTTTTTAATCCAAATATTTTCAACAACACACATCACAGAGTAGGATTAGTGTGGCACTTCCTACAAAACCAATATCTTGTTTTGGGCCTATCTTTTAGACCACAACATTTCAGGTGAGTCCATAACAAGCAATGATCACAGCCAATAGATGGAAAATTCTCCAGATCTTGATGACAGCAATTACAATAGTAAACATGTGTCTTCTGTTTTTCTTGTGCCACGTTTGTTACACACAGCCATGCATCAGTAGTAAAGAATGGTCTA